CTTGAGACCCTGAAGCAACACCAGTAGTGGGATCGCGGGTTTGTGCATTTGTGCATGCTTCAATGCTTCAGCTGCACAAACACGCACGCACACACACACACACACACACACACCCACCCACACCCACACACACACACACACCCACACACACACCCACACACACACACACGGGCACACACACACACACACAGACAGAGAGACACACACACACACGCACACGCACGCACGCAGGCAAGCAAGCATGCAAGCGAGCCCACCCTTGGAGAATGGGTCGGCCACATTTGGAGTTCGTGCCGGTCACTGCATGCGGAAGTTTCATAAACGATAAGTCCAAAACCTGGCGGTGCGACTTGGTCAGCTGGGCAGGTGGAATACAGCCAGTTAACTGTGGAGCTCTTGCCAAAGCGCGAGAGACAAGAGATCCATTCCCACGGCCCTGCATAAACTATACTGCTTAAAGCTGTTGTGTTGCCTGGTGGCTCGGTGTATTTTGTGCCTTTCGTGCCTGCTGGAGCTGGAGTTGTTCCACTGTTGCTGCAATCATTGAGTGGATTCTGTCCCGGTCGAAAGGGGGCGGGACCATTTCCGCAGCCAAGGTATTGGTTTCATCCCATGACAAAGCCTTCCTCGAAGCCCTGCGCGTGACGGATCAGGCGACCTGCATTCCTGTCTGCTTGCGCAGGCTGCATGCTTAGATGCGCGTAGCGGAGGAGTACTTGCTGATATAGACAGACACCTTTTCGTGAGTTTTCTCAATTAATTGTGCTCTACGACGTCCAGAGTGCTTCCAGGGGTTTCCAGAAGTGCACAAAGATTTCAAGCGTACCCTGTCGTATGGTCTGGGCGTCGAGTCGATACTCAAGAGCTGAGGAGCTGTCGAAAGAGAGAACTGTGAATAATTTCCCCAGGTGCATATCGCGAGAGCCGAAGTCGGCGAGCCAGGTCACTTGAAAGTGACTCCATCGCATCCAGAGTCATTCGGTCGGCACTTCTCCGCCGGTATCGGCGTCCGGCTTCTTTGGGACTGCAGGCAACATGATGCAACATGTAAGTTTGGGTTCGCAAGCACGAATTTTCATCGAAGCGCGAAGGCCAGGGTTATGAGTTGCTCGGTGCACAGCTACATCGTTGACATGAGGTCATCCATGCACCTGTTGCGTCACTTGGATGCAACACTGCCGGCTGCAGCACTAGCTGCATTGTTGCCTGCCTGTGCACAACGCCTTGTCCAGAACCGCATCAACCAAACCTGCCTGTCGCGGTCATGGTGCGTGCTGAATTTTTCGACACCGGCGAACACTGGTGAGAGAAGGCGTGACTTCGGCGCTGGTGGTGCGGCTCCTTCGGCGCCAGCAGGTGCGTCGGCCCATGTGGCTGAAGCAATTCCAGGCGCGAATCATATGGAAGTGGTGCCTGTGAAGTTGTCTTGGCAGTAAATGCAGGTCCCTCCAAAGCTGCGCCCAAGCCTTCTGCTGACAAAGACTGGCACTCAGTAGGTGTGGAATTTGCATGGCGCGATATGCAAGGTTTGCATATGTCTGTCAGACATCAGGAATCAGGATTGGGGGCCGATGCAATACTGAGGCCAAGCTGAAAAGGAAGATTTCCAGTGCTCGAGCCTGAGTTGTCGCACTCAGTCTTCTGAAGTATGGAGCTTGAATCCTGTGAGGTCATGCGCAGGATCGAGCATGCAGAGGGTCTGCTGCAAGAGGCCGCGACTCAACTCGCAGAGGAAGTCGATTGAATGGAATGAAGGACGTGTGCTTTATCCTGATCTGGCAGCTGTACGGAAGCATGTTGGAGCGCTTGTCGCATGGGAGTTGTGTGTGTGTGTGTGCGTATGTGTGTGTTGTGGCAGTTTAGCATGCAGCGTGACATTCGCTGTTCTGACAAAATAGCTCGGCCTCTTGCAAGTATTTGGTATGTAAAGTTACAACAGCAACGGCGTTCAATGCATAATTAGTTTGAGTGTTTGTAAAAAACGGTGGCTTCCACTTCAGACACATCCATCTCATCCCATCTTGACAGGCGGCAGATGCTATGAATGCCGAATACAACGAGGACCGCTCGATCTGGCTTTACCAAGCAGCAGATCAGACTGCCTGAGCATTCAGGCGAATTCGCCAAATCAACATGCCCCTAGAATCGTTCTCTTGATCCAATGTGTGCAACTAGTGCGCACAACATTAGGCATTGTGAATTTACTCTTGCATGTCCGAAGCAGGCTTCTGTACACCGTTGACGTGGGAGGTTGCGATTTGGATTTGTTCGGAATAGTTGGGTGGCACGCTTCGGCGGATCAGTTTCTTATAGAGTGGTCGGAAGATGTTGCAGCCTGCAGCACACGAACTTGCATGTCCCAGGAGACGGTGGCAGCCTACGAAGCTGCCAACGTGAATGTCGAGTCTCGCCTATTTAACCAGCAAGACTTGACACATCTCCGTCGCCGCGTCTCAAGATGTCTCAAGCCTTGATTCTGTTCATCGCCCTCCGTCCATCTCAGGAAGAGATGTATGCAGACATGCAGTCGTTGGAAGATCAGCTTGCAACTGCATGAGAAGTGCCAGCGGCCGGGCAAGCAGCTGTAAATAGTGTTCAAGAAGGTTTCCGCCTGTCGTCTCTAGATTGGCTTGCATAAGATCCACACATGGCATCCAAGATGGCCAGAGTGTACAGAAACCATGTTAAGCCATGTCGCAATTTTCTGCTGTCTGCGCACCTCTGGACTCAGACTCTAGATTTTCAGCGGCGAGCAGCGAATTTTCGATGTAGTTGTTTTCCCGTTCGCCGTTCGGCACATGATGGTCGAAGACGCTGTGCCATGCCGGTATCGTGTTCGGGGAACTCGTGTCAGCAGCACTCCAGTCAGCATCAGGAAGACAAGCAAGAGCAAGGCCGTAGATTCTAGGTTTGACAGCGAAGCAGAGCACACCAGGTGGAAAGCCACTGTTGTCAGGAGCTCCCTGGCTCCATGAGAGGGCAATGTGACAAGGATTTCTGCAACGAGAGCATGCGAGAAATGATGGCATTTGCTTTAGTGTGCCGGAACAAACCGGAGCTCTGAGACTGCGAAGGTTGTTGGAGAGGGGAACGCTTCGAGCCCCAAGGCTTCAGGATCCTCGAAAACTGGCCCTGTGATAAGAAGACTATACTATATACTATACTATATACTATATACTATATACTATGCTCCGCTGCAGATGCCCTTTTTGTGTTCAGCCGGGACCCAGGTGCCGGAATGACGTGGCCTGGGCTGCCGAGCATGGACTCGTGCTTGCCTCAAGCCTCAAGCTCGCCCAGTGCGACCGTTGAGGCTTGTTAAGGACCTGTTAAGAGGCTCATAGCTTCGGGCTTTGAATTGGTGTCAGAACGAGCCAATAACCCTTTGAAGCCGAAAGCTCCAAAGTTAGACGCTGTAAGTGCTCGGGCTTCCCTTGGGTGATGGACTTGTGTGGAGCCTTGCCTGCCTGGTGCGAGTGTGAGGGTCGAACACGGAAGTGCCTCACCATTGAAATCTCAAGCTGGAGCCCGAGATCCAAAAAAGGTATGAAATCAGGGCTCGGGACTGACAAGAAAGGGAGGACAATAAAAAAGGGTTCTGTGCTTTTGAGTTACATCTGGCACCGCACAGAAGCCTTCCCAACTTTGGCTGATCTTCGCAGCCTTGAGCCGACCTTCACCGAAATCGGCGACTGCCACCGAGGAGGAGAACCCTGAATGGTATCCCGAGCTTCGCCAAGGTGCAGATTGGAAGGACAGGGCACGGGGCTCGCTTCATCGCGTGCAGGCACGGTAGTAGCTTTTGAGCCTCCCCAGGGCGTGTCAGGTGTTCCGTGCGCACTGCCTGTCCTGAAGCCTAGTGCCTAGAACAGCAGATACACCCTGCAGCAGTTTGTCTGCAGTTACTCCAAACCCGATGTTGCAGACAATTCATCCTCCTCCCATCGTTCCTTTGTATGAAGAGGCACCGGCAAGAAAGTCAGCTATTTAGTTAACCCCAGTGCGTGTGGTGACACAGGACATCGCTTTGGTGCTGTACGTGCACGGCCAGCCCGGCTGCCCTCGTCCTTGCATCGCCCTAAGCCGGGTGACACAAGCGCCACATGCCCAACCTTAAAGCCAAGCCGTGCCACCCGAGGGCGATCAACAAGAGCAGCCCGAAACTTCAGGGTCCATTAGATAGTTGAAAAGCAGCAAACCGCGTCGTCATGGCATGTGGACGCTGAAAAGAGTTTCCAAGCCAACATCTCTATCCTCCTCCCGGCTCGCTTACAGGCGACAAGGACGAGCCCAAAGGCCACTATGTCCGATGCTGAGTTGCCGAAGCTACTCCGATATTCATGCCAGTAGCCAACATTTAATTCAAGAATAGGGGTAAACCCAAATCACTCTTCTTAAATCTCAGCTCTAAACCCGCTTTAAACCCGATACCTTCCCCGTACCCTGTTTGAGCCTTCTTCCTACAAAGGAACTCCAAGGCCCTGGAAGTCTGAATTCAGAAGCCTGAACCTGAAATGCTGAAGGCCTCGACGAAGACCAATGCTTTCCGGGGGTGCTTTTGGTAATCAGAGCTCAAACCGTGGGACTTGCGCTCAGGCAATGCAGCCCCGAATATCGAACGGGCATTGCGTTTTCACAACCAGTGATCGAAGCGATGAGTTTTTGTGATAAGCTCTGGGTAAATGTGTGTACTTCAGACGTCAAGTTGCGAAATGCATTCTCCCATTTGGTGATTGGTTTGCAGCAGAGCTTGGACAGCAAGGTTTGGATTTGGCAGGGATTTTTCTGGAGAGATAGGTTGATCCTGTGAATGCTTCGGGTGTCTGCTGCCAGTGTTGTGTGAATTCTGTCAGAACGCTGCGTCTTCTGTTCGATCTTCCGGGGTCATATTATGCAGGTTAAAAGCATTCAGACGTGTGCAAGGATTTGCCAGGAGCTCCGAGACCTCCATCAGCAAACGGCTCTGTCATCAAGTAACAACCCAGCCTGCTCCTCCCAGCTGTTTGGCTAAGAGGCTAAGAGTGCCCCGGTGCCCTTGACGGCGCTGATTCCGTGGCTTTTCCCGACTGCCCGAGATGATCCTTTTCGCACCTGCACACCGTATATAGAGTATAGGTGCGTATAGTCAGTATAGTGTCCTGGTGCGACAGTGCAAGATCCGGCCTTATGGCCCCAGACAGATGTAGTCAATGCAGTCTATGATCCCCTGACCTGACTTGTGCACGCAGACCCCAGCATATGCCCCCTTAAAACCATTCTTAGAAGCCTCTGAAGTGCCGGGTCACCTATTGACGTTCCGTCCCAGGTGCCTTATGACCCAGACAAGGAGGAGAAGGACGACTTCGCATTGTGCCAGCTCGGCGGGATGGGCTCATGCCTGCCTGGGAGGACAGCGAAGAGAGCAAAGAGTTTGAAGAAGTTCCAGCCAAAGGCCAGGCGTCGCATAGCAACAACAGCGGGCGTTGGGAGCGATAATGCTGGATGAAAATGGGAAAAGACGTCCCCCCCCCCACGTCTGTGGGTCGCTGGTTCCCGATGCCATTGATTTCTGCATGTTCAGCTTCACATAAAACGAGGCACTTAGCACGCAAGAAAATTTCAAACATACTCTTTAACTGGCTGTCATAGCCTGGATGAAGGTGGTGCATTTGTTGTCATCCCGTGGCCATCCCTGGCCGAAGAAGAGCGGGGCGGTTGAACGTCAATTCAATCGCCCAGGCTCTGAGCGCCATGAGGACAGTGACGAGGAGCGGCCTTTGCATATGGGTTTGGGCACCTGCGCTCTGCAGCTTCTGCCTCTTGAAGTACAACCGCCCAGGCGGCGGCTGTGTGTTTGTTTGTTTGTGTGTGTGTGTGTTTTAAAGCTGTGGCAGGATGAGGAGCAGACCCCGAAGGAGGTTGCCAGGTTGTGGCTTGTCTGCATATTAAAACGTGTGTGCACACAGATGTGATGCATCCTCGCTTATGTATTTGCTGTATTATGCAACCAGCCCACCGCGAACCACGAACGCACGCTGCGCATGTCCACATGAAGGTACGTCATTGATATATGAACTTTTGTACTTGCACACATAGTAAAACGCAATTATGCGTAATTATATAAATACATACAAATGCATGGCGTTAATATACAATGGGTGGATCCTTGTTTCCTACTGTTACTTCAAACAAATACAAAAAGATTCTAGGACCCCAAACAAAACATCTTTCTTTTTTTGGGGGTCCTTGTGTCTTCTTCATCTTTCAAATCAAAAAGAAACAATGACCCCAATAAGAAAGAAACAAGGACCCCAAATAATATAAAAAACAAGGACGCCAAATACACAAAAAGAAACAAGGACCACAAAAAGAAGAAATCTGGGTTGTTTGGGGTCCTTGTTGTTTTTATATTTCAATTGTACAAAAGAAACCAGGACCCCCAAGAAATAGTAGTGGCATTCGTCGTCGGCGTCGTAGTAGTAGTAGTAGTAGTAGTAGTAGGTAGTAGTAGTAGTAGTAGTAGTACAACTGCACCTGCAGCTGCTAGTAGTTGTAGTAGTTGTATAGTTGCTCTGCAGCAGCTAGTAGCAGCTAGTAGAAGAAGAAGCAGTAGTAGTAGTAGTAGTAGTAGTAGTCGTAGGAGTAGCAGCAGTAGGAGTAGCAGTAGTAAGTAGTAGAGTAGCAGTAGTAGTGTAGTAGTAGTAGTAGTAGTAGTAGTAGTAGTAGTGGTAGTAGTACAACTGCACCTGCAGCT